TTTTAATCATTGCTTAAGTTTTGTCTTTTTCCTATTTCTTTTCTATTTTCTCTCTTATTTTTTTTTTTTTTTCGAGACAGGGTTTCTCTATGCAGCTTTGGAGCCTGTCCTGGATCTCGCTCTGTAGACCAGGCTGGCTTCGAACTTACAGAGATCCGCCTGCCTCTGCCTCTTGAGTACTGGGATTAAAGTGGTGTGCCACCACTGCTATTTCTTGTTAATTTGTTAAACAAAAGAAACATCATAAATAGTATTATTTATAATTAAAATTCATAGAGCTAATGTCCTTAGATATTAAAGTTATGTGATAGCTTACCTTTAAAAATATACTTTCCTGTATAGAGACGTGTTTGTTAAAAGTTTATGTGATGTTTTTCCATCTTATAGAAGGAACTATCTACTTCTATTAAGGGAAATAATAAATACATATAGATATAATTGGTTATGTGTTGTATCTGTGTGTGTGTCGTGTGTGTGTGTGTGTGTGTGTGTGTGTGTGTGTGTGTGTGTGTAGCTTTTCAAGGCACAGTCAATGCTGATACATCTTAACCTTCTTTCCCCCTTAAGTCTGTTAACAGAGCTCACTCCAAAAATATTCTAATCCAAACATCTAGGAAGGAAACAGTGCTGTTCACAATACTCTGTGTATGTCTTTACTTGTTGTATATGAGAAAACACTCAGGAGCCAAATATATGGTATATGATGTTGTATCATGTCCTAAAATATGTGTGGTAATGTTATTGTGGACACTACTGAGGGCTTTGGGAAACTGATGATATAAGGGAGATTTTGTCTTCATGTTCTTCAAGAAAACCACACATGAGTCTTTCTGTATTCTCTGGTATCCTTTAAGATGTTCCGTGTCTTCTTTTGGTGAAAAGTGAAGTTTAAGAAAAGTGTTATAGATGAAAGGAAGTGGTAAATAAATAATTGGATTTTGAAATTAACATTTCTGTTTGGAAGACGATGAACCATATCTATTTTGTCTATCATTTTTGTGCATTTTAATTTAGTACCTAAGTGATTAATTTGATATCATTTCTGCAGGGTTTTGAAATTTATAATGGCAGGGTTGATGTGTAAGTATTGTATCAAGTAAAAATACCTTTGATAAAAATGTCTACCTGGCACTCAATAGAAGTCAGCCACACCACCAGTTATAACACGAGGTTGATTAATGGATATTCTTTGCAAAGTTCCATTTGGATCTCATCAAAAGCTGACATATGTATATACAAACATGTGAACAGACACTTAGATCATGTGGTTTAAAGTAGACTGCTCACTTCAGCACAAATTATGAGGAATTTATATCATATTTCCTAACACTTTGGTAAATAAGTTTATATTCCAATATGGTAGTAATATATTTAGTATTTTAGTATAAGTATTAATCTATATTTAGGAGTACTCTCACATATTAAAACGAGCCATCTTTACAAAAATTTAAATCATAAGGTTATACCAATAGTGCATAAATATTTATCCATCTTAAAAACATAATTCTATGTTTCAGAAGTAACTGAATGGGTTAAAAATTGCAGTCTACTCTATTTTGTTACATTAATAAAATATTAGTATACGCTCAATAAATATGTAGTGATATAATCAAGACACATGCCATTTGTATATCAATTAAAATTATTCACTGTCTTTCTCATATGCTCAGCAGTAGAGATATTCAATATAGACAGGAAATGAAAGACAAGAGTTACAGAAGTCAGGTCATAATACTGATGTAATCCATGTAAGGATTACAAAAGATCAGTCAAAAGAGAAAGCCAGATTCATGTAGGGCACTCTTCAGAGACGGTATTTTAACATGAAGCCTTCTCAGCTATAAAGGGTAACACTGACCTGTCACACTTGCTGGACCTGACATCATCATGCATTCTTTGTTAAAATATTGACTCACATATTGAATAATATCTTTCATAACTTTGTATTTCATTCACTGGAAAGCCTAGGAACTGACTACTAGTAACACAAAATCATCACAACTTGCAGATGCAAAAGGTTTGCATTTATCCACCCATTTGTGTATGTAAAAATATGTATGTTATATTAAATTTGTGTATGCATACATAGTCTCTATGAGTCTGCATATAAAAGCTATATAGTATTTAAGCATATAATGAGATACTTTTTTATATATGAACAGTTTTTTTGCAGTCACAAATAAAATATCTGGTTGTTTATCTAGTTAGTACTGTAGTCATTCATTCATTATTTTATTGAACCTGAATCAGTTTTTTATATTTTTTTAATTAGTCAAATATTTTCAGTGAATAGGAAATCTAGTTTAAAATGCATGAGTGCTTTCATGATGAAGGATTAGAGTAAAATAAAAATGTTATCAATAATTATAAATAAAAATAAATGTATGTTCAAATGGACATTGCCTGTAGACTTTCAATGATGTCAAGAATTGCACTGCACTGTGATTCTTCATAGGTACAGCATGGAAGCCACAACCTTTTGCGATTTGGAATAAGGACACTTGAGTGAGAGCCAGGAATCTTGCCCTTATTGTGAAACATGACCTGTGTCAAATATGTGGTGCATATCTGGTTCTGAATCTTTATTTCATGACTAAATGTATTTCTAGTACTAAAAATATAGACCTAGAAACATTTAATATTACAGATCAAATGAGATATGTATCACGACAAGTTAATTACAATTCTAAGCTCTGTCTGAATTGAAACTTTTTTTTAAATTTTATCATCTATTTTAAGGAATACAACTTTATACATTTGTTTTTATGTACATATTGGAGTGGTTATAGTATCAACCACATTTATATCTTTGTTTCCTTCCACAGTCTCTTTTGTCTGTCTGTGAGAATGTACTGGAATACCCTAAGACTACCTTTATAGCCCATTTCCAATGCATGGCCGACCATGTAGCTCTAATTCTCATATTCTGTTTGTGCTTTCACCTCCACTTCCTGCTTACCTGCTTCTCAGTGCCTAAGTGAAGTCTGCAAATCACTGGGGATTTGCATCCCTCACCTCTGCTTCCTGACTCCTCTATTCCCAGTGGTTGTGTGAGGCCTACAAGTGACTGACACTTTCCATCATTCATCTGCATTTTCTGCTCCTCTTCTTTCCCAGTGTCTATGTGAACTCTGCTGCTACTGGAGGTTTGCACTCTTTACCTCTGGGTTCTGCTTCCTTCAGTCCATAACTAGAAGAGAATTCAGCATGCCCTTGGTTCTTTGTTTGAATTTTCTTAGATTCTACATAGAAGTGAGGTCATGCAGCACTTTATTTTGTGTGTTTTGTAGCAGGGTCCTTGCTGTTGTTCCCTTTGGGGGAGGGGGCCAAGTAGGCACAGAGTCAAACCACACAGACTCCAGGAGAATGTCAAAACAACAAGCTCAGTTTATTCAGGAAGAGGCAAGCCTTATATATCCTCCACCCTACCCTGGGGGGAGGTCTGATGAATATGCATCTGCTGGTGTGACATGCAGCCTCTCCACCCTACCCTGGGGGGAGGTCTGATGAATATGCATCTGCTGGTGTGACATGCAGCCTCTCATTGGTCAACGTCATCTCCAGATCATGTTTCAGCCGCTGTTGCTAAGGCAGGCCCAGGCTGGCTCTCAGAAAGGATCTTTTTTACTTCTTGGGCCTAATGGCCCACAAGCCTGTTAGGGATGAGTTATCCCACAGTGTTTGACTTATGAGTATAATGCCCTCCAATTCATCCATGGAGTTAATTAGAAAATTAAAAAAAAAAAAAAAAAGTACTAACACACAGAAAATGTAACTTCTTTCTTCACAACTTATTTACACATTAACCTTATTACTAATGTTGTTCATAGATAGAGTTGTTTGTAGGCAGGTTCATCCTGGTGCTGACTATAAACTTGAGGCTCATGATTCATGATGTGAACAATTTCTTGATTCACTCCACAAGAATGGGATTTGAAATCAATCAGTACGCAATAGAAACACCCGTGTTTAACTATTATAATATGGACTAAAAACTGTTAAGAGTGAACTGTGGAACTCATGTATGGAGTTTTCCTGTCCCACAGCTGCTCTCAAATAATCACTCGGCTTATATTAATTATAAAAGCTCAGGCAATAGCTCAGGCTTGTCACTACCTTACTCTTATATTTAAATTAACCCTTATTTCTTATCTATGCTTTGGCACATGCTCATGCCTTGTTACCTCATTTTCTATACATCCTGCTTCCCCTGAGTCTCCTTGCGACTCCTCTGACTCCATGCTTCCTCATCCCATCATTCTCAGTTTGGTTTTCCTGCCTAACTTTATCCTGTTCAGCTATTGGCCAGTCAGCTTGTTTATTAAACTTATCATAGCTACATATATTTACACAATGTATAGAAGGATTATTTCACAGTATTAGTGAATGGAATGGAAAATGTCATAGCTAAATTAATCCTTCAGGGGAAAAGTTTCTTTTTTACATCAGTTCATAAATTTGCATATGTCTGAATTATCTGTATGTAGCATTGTGCATAATGCTGAAGTGGTTATGAAAATTCTGCTCAAAATTGGAGAGAAAAATGAACGCAAAGAAAAGCAGAAACAATTAAATTCAATAAAAGAATCTGAATTCCTGTCTACTCTGGGTGTGGGCCCTCAGAAATGTACTGAGTGTATCTCATTTTCCCACTGAAAAATTCTTTAATCTGTGATTGCCAAACTTCCTACAACACTTTGGTATATTATCTACTGTCCTACAAACCCTAAAAACAGCAACAAGCACATAAAATTGCCTCCAGGATACTCTCCCTGCAACAACACTTTGAAGTATCATTCCTCATCTACACTTGAAAGAAGTGAGGATGCATCCATGCTTAGTGAGAGCCCTGTATCCAGGGCAGTGTGTTCCTGTGATAAATATAGTAAAGTCTTTAAGTAAAAGTGTACAGTTTTCAAGTAAATGTGTCTTAGGCATATTGCCAGATGTCATGATAGCGTTTATGCTATTGTTTAATAGAAATATTCATTTCTTTCTAGGAGCAATTTTTGATGAATCTGCTAAAAAAGATGATGAGGTGTTCCGCACAGCAGTTGGTGACCTCAATCAGAATGAAGAAATCTTACAGACAGAGAAAATCACATTTTCAGTGACATTTGTTGATGGCAACAACCCTTTTCAAGCTGTTCAAGAAGGTAAGGCCCTTCGTGATCTAAGATTTATTTTAATTATGTTATTTTATTGTTTAGTAAAATGGAAATTAAAATAGATTAGTAAACAGCAATTCAAAGTAGGCATCATTCTGTGTGGTTTTAGCTAATTAGATGCTACTTTTCTTTGAGAGTTCTTACAATGTACTTTTATAATCTTACATTCAACTTTTGAAGGCATGTCATATAAAAAGTTATTATGTGGATTGAAATATGATATGAAACTTTGCATACATTTTGGAGTCAAGAGCTTTTTGTCATTGTTATAATGTCAATGGAAATGGAACATTTCTGAAAAATATGACTGTTTATCAGAATTTTTGCTTTGTGTTTCTCTGCAATTACAGCTGACTTGAGTGTTGTTAGAACTTGCAATGACATTTCAGGTATACACATGATAAATACAGTGATGCAAAAAATAAAACAAAACAAACAAACAAAAAAAACTAGAAACACCACCCACAAATCAGCAGTGTTATGATGTGTTCCTAAAGTCATGACTCTGGCTGTATTGTTTTATTTTCTACAAGTTTCTGGGCATTAAAATAGTATCTTTCTTCCTGATTCTCATGAGAGTGAATTAAAGTTCTCACTGACAAAAGTAATCTGCATTGCTCTTTCTCAGATTAGTGGAATTGTCTGTTTCAGTTTGATAATCTAAGAAAGCTTTAATACCCTTCTTTGATAAAGCACTCATTTTGGGGGAATTATTTCTTTATGGTTGTCAAGTATATAGATGATTTTTGTGATTTTCCCTGTATTTCAATGTTGAAACATAATTCCTGCTGCAATAACGTTAAGAGGTAGGAAATGTGGAAGTTGCTGAAGGCATGGGAATCTGCCTTTATACATAGGGTTAGTGCTCTTAAAAAAGAGGTGGAGTGAGCACACTGCACCCTTTGCGTTCAGAGGACACAACAAGGAGACACTTTCTTTGGTATGAAAACCTAACACTCAGTAGGCAGAGTCTGCTAGCTCCTGGAACATGGGCTTCCAACATTCAAAACTGTGAGCGATAAATTTCCAGTCTTTTTAAGTTACTAATTAAAAGATGTTTTCTTATGGTTACACAGACTAAGACATTGGTCTGTTTTACATTTTATTGCAATGATACTTTTAAGAAGACGAAGGGCACAGTAATCTAGTCAAATGACTTGGCTTTGTGAAACATTTAAATCGGGTTTGGAAGAAGAAACAACAAACATCATATTGGAAATGGTAAATTAGTTTGGCAGGAAACAGTGTCAAAACTGACATGGAGGGGATGATAAAATAACCCTAAGTGTCTGGAACATGCACCCCTTTTATCTACTATTATAACTTTTTGTTGTATAGATTATATTAGAGAGGACTCTTAGGCATTCATTTACTTCTGTTTATAGACTGGATATTGCACTTGTGATCTAAAAAATATTGTTTATTGCTGACTAGGTAGTATAAACAAGACTTTTTCATGAAATAAACAGAATTAAGAACCAACTATTTTCACAGAAAACTGAAAAGTATGTTTAGTGATAAGTTTTGATTTTTAATAACTGAATATTAATTCAAGGCCAAATTAAAATATATCCAAATATTTCACATTAAAATCATAGTTATACTATGAATTAAAGGTTCAAATAATGTGTGTGTTGAAAAATAATTCATAGAAGCTTTTAAAACATGTCTAATATTAGAATCTATAAAGGAATTGGAAAAATAATGTAGAATTTGAAGAAGATATTTAATACAGTATGTATGTTTACTAACAATCACTGTCTCAATGAATGTTTCAAGACCTTTTTGTAACCTAGTGCTTTCATGACCATGATGGGAACAGAAAACAAAGAGGTCTGATCAACTTATCTTCCCAGTCTATGTGTGTCAATCTTAACTCCTCTCCATATCAACCTCAAAAATGCAATTAGATACTAAAGGATTTTAAATGTCTACCTTGATTGAAAAGGGAGATTAGAGGAAATTATAATGTTTGAAAAGATTCCCTCACACCATTTTTTAAAGACTACATTAAGAACAGTGAATGTGTTTTTTTTTTCTTTAATAGTGCAGTGATATTCTTTTAGACCTCACTTTGTGCATTCATCCTGCTGTTAGATAAGCTCTAGAAACAGAAATTTCACTCAACAGAACTGTAGGGACTTGAAAGAAGTTGTGACATTGAAAGCAAATTGAGAGAGAAAATAAGTTGGCCAGATGGAGTCCACTAGTTATCTGACAGGCAGGCTGAAGGAGCTTGACAGATTGCCTGGATGGTGTCTGCTACTAACAAGATGTTCTGGACCAGTTAGTCATGTTGATGGTCTGTGCTGGGTGGTGAGCCTGAAATAAGTTATAGCTTTAGAGAAGCTTCCTGTCACTCTTTTGTATCTAGAAGGATTTGGAGGGTTTTATTGTTGTTATTGTTTTGTTGTTTTGTTTTGTTTTGTTTTCCTGACACAGGCTTTCTCAGTGTAGCCTGGACCAGACTGGCCTTGAACTCACAGATCCTCCTGCTTCTACCTCCCAAGTGCTGGCATTAAAGGTATGTACCACAACTGCCTAGCAAGATTTGGACTTATTTTGCAAGTGAAAATAATTATTTCTATAAGATATTGGTTAAAAAACATTCCACAGAAACTATCCAGGCTAAATGAGAAGAAGAAACAATTTAAAAGTTTATCAAGAAATTAGAAGAAAAACTCTGTGTTACCAAAGATGGCTACTTTTTATGATAACCTCTTCATAGCTAAACTTTTAAAATTTATTAAAATGTATTCAATATTATCAATTTATTATGATATGAAAAACTCAATGATAATATTCTTATTATTGATACATAATTTCTAATGTTCTTATACAAAATTTACAGCCTTGATATTTTCTGTTTGATGTGCAATCATATTAATGTCAAAGTATGACACTTGGAATCTGTGGCTGTTATGTAGAACTGAATAGTATTGTAACATAAAAGAAAAAAAAGAAAGGGAAAATTTGGTAAATAATGAAAGATAAGAGAGATCTAATAGACAAATTTGTCACTCAAAAGTCAAATCATATCTAATAGCTTATACTTAATTCATTTAAAAATTCCATTCAACTAACCATATTAAGAGCAGAGTTTGGGGCTGGGAATGAAAGTAATCATCTACCATGCAATGAACCAAGAGTTCAATTTTTATACTCTCCAAAAGATATTTTAAAGAACCAGTTTTTAAATTTGTGATATGTCTATTGTCAACACCTAATAATGGAAACATGTATCAGTGAGCTGCTGATTGAATCCCAAGATATCACTGATGATTGATGTCACTCTGTAGTTTCTGCTGGAGGACCTGGAGGGTAATAATTTACTGTGAAGTAGCTTTCTACAAATCCATATACCTGTTATAAGACAGTGTTAACATTGCATTCTTGAATGATCAATGACAGTTTTCTTTATATTTCTCATATTATAACTATAATCTTAGTTCATACATCCAAGTGAATTATGGAGACCAAATTCTGTTGTTATAAAAGCAATCTGAAAAGAATTTTCTTTTAGTAAATTATTTTTCTTTACTTATGAGTATATTTTATATAAACCAAATTTACATTCATATAATAAATTGTTCAATAGCAACCAAGGGCAAATTATTTTTCATACCTTAACATAGGAGCTTTCCTTGAATTTTGTTTTTGATTTACTTTTTGTAAAATATTTTGATAACTAGGGGACATGATTTTTCTTCCTTTCCAAATGGCATATAAGAGAAAATAATCATACATTATATTTCTCAAAAGCCAGTTGCTATGTGTGAGTGAATATGAGTCATTTTGAAATGTTGAATGTAGAATTAAACTTACTAAAATCCAGAGAGGTGAATCAGTTACTATAATTCTTTTATAGTATTTGTAATTATCTGCAGTGAAGAACCAAACAAGAACCTAAGACAAGTGTTTTTAAGTTTTAGGTACTGCATTTAATCCAACTGTGCACACACATACATACTTGTGAAATATCAAAATTTGTCTAAGAGTTCAGAAATAATGTAAAGAATGAAAAAATGGAGATTTATATACATGCAATAAGTATAAAAAATTCACATGAAATCCATAACACATGAATTATTTATACTTATTTCATGGGGTAGTAGAAAAATTCCAGTGTGTATGATATACACACTTATGCTGTATAAATCAACAGTATTTTTTCATCCTTGGAATTCCTCATCTGTTAAAAATGAAAAATTCAGAACATACAAAGTATATTTTAAAGACACCTTTTGACCCATTTGTTTTTATGGTTCTGTAACATATTCATGGTGTTTAATTTATCCTTAGAGAAGACTTCCCATTTCTCAAATCTCTTCTAGTTCTTCTGTGATTGATTTTCTAAATAAACCTTGCCACCTCATCAACCAAGTCACCACAGTACAAAGAGCATGTCCCCATCACCACTTTCAACGAATGATCTGTTGTTAGACTTGAACAAAAGGATTATGGCTCCATTTCCTGTTTCATTACCCTTAGAGATTGTTTCTTCTATGTATCAAATCAGAAACATGTTAGTAATTTTGTTTCCCTGTGGACACAAGACCTGACCAATACAACTTAATTGAGGGAAGATTAATTTTAATGGTGATTTTAGATGGGTTTCAGCTCATCACTATGGGGAGGGCAAGGCTTCAGGAATAACTATTTCCCAGGTAGTGGGAGATAACGCTGAAGCAGCTTAAATGACAGCAGAGTGTAACTGGACCCCATGGCTGGGCTGCTAATCTTCAAAGGCCCACAGAAAGTATCTGCTTCCTTCAGGTAGTTCTCATCAGCTGAAAGGTCACATAACTACGATATGAAGTCAGGAAGTGTTTGAACACAATCAGTGGGTGATAGTCTAGATAAAACCTTAGCAACGTAGAAACACCTTATGCGAAAGACACTGGCGACTATAGTGAAAACAGTAGCAGCTCATCTTATTAGTTCTTGACAGAGACTGACTTAACTACTGCCCATGAAATGTGAGAGCT